TTTTTATAATAAAAATCATAACGGTTACGGTCCCTGTTTTATAGAACACTTAAAAAAATCCCCAAAATTTGAAATTTTTTTTCTCAGAAGTGTTTTTTGAGTATACAGTTTTATAGCCCATTCAATTTTAGTGTAATAATTCCAAGTTCCAAGTAGCTAAAAGTTACCATTGATTTTTTATAATTTCTTTGCCGAAGGTGTGTGACGCTGACACTGAATTTCAAAATATGTAAATATTTTAAGGAATTTTAAAAGAGCACTTAAAAGGGGAAAATTATATGTAAAATGGTAAATGGGGTACGAAAAATTTAGATACTTAGGCGGGTTGGGTAAATAAGCGGGGAGGTACTTAAGAGAGGGATTTTCTTCAGATTACATTCAAAAATTCACATTGCCCAAAAATGTTGGTTACTTAAGCGGGTTAGGTACTTAAGCGGGTTTCACTGTATTTGCAATTTGGTGTCTCATATATGAATTGAATAAATGAAACTCGCAACATTTTTTTTTAAGATAGTTGGAAAAGTGAGTTTGTGATAAGGGTCTAAGTCAAAATTGTTATTTTTTAAGTATTTTGTCATGTGTAATTTCAAAATTATACTTAAAATTATACTTTGCGTACATTGTAACTATTATGATATTCATTTTCTTAGGTTTTAGAGAAAAAGGATGTTTTTAAAGGATGTATTTTAGAACGAATTTCCGTCATCCCTTGTCAAATTTGGTTTGGGGACAAACCGGTTTCGGCGTTGTGCCATCTTCAGTGTCAGGAGATGTTGCTAAACTTATATAGAAGCGAACCAGCTACGGAACAGAAATTGAAACAAGGAATATGTACCAGGAATAATAAGACAAAAATTTGTTGTACATATTAATTGTAACAAAAATGTTTGCAGAAAACATTACAAGCATATTTCACAATGTGTAGAATGTACCAACGCCACTGTTGATGATGACGCATAAAAATTTCAAAATTAAATTAATTAAATTATACTTTGCGTACACATTGTAACTATTATGATATTCATTTTCTTAGGTTTTAGAGAAAAAATGATGTTTTAAATGATATATTTTAGAACGAATTTCCGTCTTCCCTTGTCAAATTTGGTTTGGAGACAAACCGGTTTCGGCGTTGTGCCATCTTCAGTGTCACTTTTCGGAAACAACAATACCAAAAAAGGAGATGTTTTTAAATTGATATAGAAGCGAACCAGCTAGGAAGCAGAAATTGAAACCGGGAATATGTACCAGGAATAATAAGACAAAAATTTGTTGTATTAATGTAACAAAAATGTTTCCAGAAAACATTGCAAGCATATTTCACAATGTGAAAAATGTACGAACACCACTGTTGATGATGACGCGTACAAATTTAAAAAATAAATGCAAAAAAAAACAAATTTTTCCAAATTTTTAATTTGAGTGATTTTTCGACATAAAAAAAAATTCAGTCAGCCTTTGAGATACACCTTGCGGCTAAATTGCCGCGGCGCGCTCTCTCGTGTAACTTTCAAAGAGCGCCCTCCGAAGTGTTAAAAAAATTTAACAAACTTTCGTACAAATTTCGAGATTTTTTTAAAATTGTAATAAATCAATCGTATTTTTTAGAAATTTGAAACTTGTACTTTATTCTACTAGAATTCAATGGGCTACAAGACTGCATTCTCAGGATCTAATTAAAAAACTCGAAATTTTTACGAAAATTTGTTGAATTTTTTCCTTAAATTGAATAAATTTTTAAGGCAGTGGCACTCGATTGGTACATTTGTACAGATTAGTACATTTTTATATTGAGCTATTGGTAAAAATACAAAAAATTTGAATCTTTTTGTAGTCAAAAGATTGGAACAATACAGCGATGTTCTATCGAAAAATTTCAACAAATTAATTTTCGTGATTGGGATAATGAAACATATTTGGGTATTAACACAATTGGGATACGATTCGCACCAAATTTTGTTAAATACCCTATCGTGTGACACTGCCTTTAAACTTGTATTTATGCGGATGTTGTTAAAGAATGAACTATAAAAAACCAACCAAAATTAAATAACAATAAAAATAATATTTTAAAACTTGTGAAAATTTGGTGCGGCAAAAATTTTTTCGACTACTGTACATTAGACTGCATCACCAAAAAATGTTGAGGTTTTGCCGGCGGGATAACCAAACCTAGTATATTTTAAGACTTCTACCAAAATATTTCGGAAAAATATTAAGATTTACGTGAACTGGACCGGTTTGAAAATACCTCTGAAAATGGAGTTTTTTATGAATAAAAATAGTTTCTTAAAGGATTTTTTGGAAAAAACCCTCTCAGATGACAAAACAGTTTAAGCTTAAAATATTACATAAAAATATTAAAAAATTTTATCAACGGAATCATAATAATGAGATTTTTGATGCTGTTTTTTAATATTTTTCAAAGATTTATTTAAGAAAACCTTGACTAAATGCTCCAAAACTCTACCGACATAGACTTATCAGGTATCAGGGGAAAGGTATTTTCTCACCCTTTTTATTTATTTTCAAAAAAACTCATTCGCGTCCCAATTTTTTCTTTATCAAATACTAACACATCTTCATTCAACACGTAATGACACTCGTTTATCTTACCTTCCTCTTTCATACTTTGAATGAGCTTATTCGCAAAGAAATTAAAAGGGTGAGAAAATACATTACCAATGATACCTCATAAGTCTGAATTGGTAAGGTTTTGGCTGAGTTATACCAGGTTTTCTTAAACTAGTCTTTGAAAAAAGTTCAAAAACTGCATAAAAAATCTCATTATTATGATTCCGTACAAATTTTTTTTTTAATATTTTTATGCAAACATTTTAAGCTTAAACTAGGTTTGTTCCACAAGCTACTTGTAGAAAAACTCGAGCAAAGTTCAAACTGTCAGCGTATATCAAATAAACTCAAAAACTTACTGGTGGAACGCGTATGTGTAACCCGAAGTGACTTCGAGTAGCTTGTGGAACAAACCTACTGTTTAGTTATCTGAGGTAATTTTCTCGGAAAATATTAAAAAAAAACTTTTTATTAATAAAAAACTAAATTTTTGGGGTATTTTCAAATCGGTGCAGCTCACGCAAATCTTAATATTTTTGTGAGATATTTTGGTGGAAGTCTTAAAATATAATAGATTTTATAATTCCAGTAGAAACACAGTACCGATTTTTTTTGTATGTTGACTATGATTACTAGGCCGAGCTATCATAGTAGCACAATGCCACTAAGTGCATATTAAAATTTTCAGGCAATAGCCTCATGCGATTATCGATTATATTTTTTGTTGTTTGTGTGAAATATTTTATTTTTATCAATTTTTTCTTTTAATCAAAATATGTTGAAATAAAAGTGAAAATAAAAAAAATATTTTGCCAGAATGTACCGTAGTAGACTAATTTTAATTTAAAAATTCTGTCGTTACCTTAATCCACCTAATATTAATAATGAAACAATATTTATACAGAAAATGATGGCAAATATATAGTTGTTGAAGCACGATAAAGCTAAAAGTATGGTTCATAAGGTTGCCTTAATTTAAACAGAAAATAGTTTGGCTCCTTTAATTTATGATGAACTGAATATGTATACTACTGTTTTATATTTTGAATTGTTTACCCCTCTCTGCTAGTAATATATAAATATAAATTTGTTTGCATTTTTTATTCTCGATACAAAAATGTGGAATATTCTTGATCGCGAACGTGAGTGAGAATTTCCAAACCCTGGTATTTAACAAACCCTTCAACTAAATTAACGATTTGGTTCAACCTTGATGAACATCAGAAGCTTTTAGTTATAATTATCAAACCATGGTAATAGTTCCCATTCCTTGGTAACAGTTCCCAAGTGTTGTCAAAATTAGGAAACTAAATATATTTAGTTGTCGAAATTAGCTTTTTTCCTCAATGTAATAAAAAATTTCCAACAAAGAAGTTTCGGCGAAATTTCATCTGTTCTCTCACAAGAGAAAAATATCCTGAACATACGCGAACAGAAAATTTGCAGAAACTTGCAAGTTAGACGAACATAAAATAGAATTTTTGTTTACATTCAAAAATGTAAAATTGAAAACGTAAGACAAATGATCCCAATGTATTATCCTGACACAGTTTATTAAATAAACGACTGGTTACTTACTTCTTACAAGTTTAATTAGTCGCATTTCATCATTTTTAACTTCCATACTATCAAATTAAATTTTGTGATTCGCGTAAATTCCAACCATCTATTTTTTATCAGCTGCTGGCAAATAGCTGCTGGCAAAAATTGTTCCAGCAGAAACTAGCAGCCTCCTTTCAAAATGAAATGTCACTTTGCTTTCTCAATTTCCCCTAATTTGCAAATTTTCTGCGCACGCGAACGCAAAAAGCTGATAGTTTTTGATAACTCGAAACAAGTTCTATGGGACTACAAGCAATTATTTTCTGCTTGTTAGCCCATTTATAAAAACGTGGTTTGTATAGTAAAAAGCTATTTTCATTTGATTTTTTTGGAAAAGCTTTGCAAGAATTTTCTATGCACTTACAAGTTTCGAAATTCTTTAAAATCTGCGTAAAACTGCTTCGTTGCAGGGCAATTTTCCTAAGATATGGCATGGTATAAGGGTTTGTATGAGAGAAAACTAACGGAATATTAAAAAAACACTTAAGGAACAGTTTCAAATAGGACTTTTTGCAATGGTAACTACGATTTGAATATACGAATACATATGTATGAATGTACGTATTTAGTATTAACTTACCATATCCTTGGTTCTAACGCTAGCATATGCAGACACTATGGCATTCGGCGGAGTGCTGACCGGTAAATGGAAAGCCATGCTTAGGCCTAACGCAGCGGGCAGACAAAGATAAGTGGGATTTACCCTTATAGATACCGCCTAAGAAATGCATAAAATAATTTTCATTAAGGTATTTCGCTAAGGTACTCATAGCACCCTACCAAATTCAATAAAATGGGCATTAAAATGTTGCACATGGCTACATTTGACGTAAAAGCTGTGGCTACCACGGCAACTATGAGGCAAATTAACTGTAGGAGCCATGGAGGAAGTACTTCCAGTGCAGATAGCTTTTCTCCAACATATGCGGCAAAATGAGATTTTGATGCCCCTTCAGATAGTGCGAAACCTCCAGCAAGTAAATATAATAATCCCCATGAGTGACGTACGGAAAACCAAGGCCAATCGAGAATGGATCTTATTGTGCCTTCTTGGCTTGATCCTAAAGTGCATACATGGCAATTAATTCGTTATTCAATATTTCGAAAAACTCGTATGTAGGTACTTACTCCGGCATGCGAAATACTTCATGCTTAAATAATTGATGGGCAATGTGAAAAGAAGGAAAGAGACGCCTATGAGTCCAGAAGCGGATTTAAGTTTTCTAAAATAACATGAAAGAAAATCGTTACAGTTTTGTAAGGTTTTCAAAACTCACTTTTCTGTCAAAATGTCTGCATATCCTTTTAGACCAGCCATGCCTGGCTTCCGTGTGAGAAAAAGAACTATCATCAGTAAAAAAAATATTCCCACTTGAAGCTCGTGGCATGAAAATTTTCCCAATTCTTTAGCTTTTTCTTTAATGACGGCCCGGGCAGCTTCTTCGGCTTCTTTAGACGCAGTAATTTTTTTATCACCCAATCTAAATAAACCCATGAATTGCCATTGCAGTGCCACAGCAACTAGAGTTGTGTTAAGGAGCATTGGTAGCACATTAAATGCCATGAAGGGCAAAAAGCTCATGTCGTTTGTGTCTTTGAACATTTTTTCAAAGATGCCTTTGTAAGCAATATTTGTTCCAGTTCCAATAAGGGTACCTAATCCACCGATAGATGAAGCATACGAAACTCCAAGGTAAAAGGCAATTGCAACTCTAGAAGGATATGGTGGGCTGCAATGATAATTATTGAGCATACATGGCTAAAGATCACTCAAAAACTTACTCATCGGCTGCAAGAACCTTGCTTTCATCATAGACATCAACAACGCCTTGCTAAATACAAAAAACCGCTTAATCTTTATAAGTCGCGAATTGTTTACTTACAAAATAACTTACCCCCGCCATTTCCTCTAGAGTACCTTTAATAATCGGACACATCATTGCCGTGGCAGCAGAATTGGTGATCCACATTGATACAAACATTGTAATGTATAGCATGCTAAAATGTAATCTATTAAAAAAAAAAACAAATTCCAATTAAATGGAAAATAAATAAAAATATTGCATCTCACTTGTACGGGCTACAGCCAACTAAAGAGAGTACACCAAAGGCTATGCGTTTATGTAAATTCGAATACTCAATGGCCAATGCCACCACCAAACTTCCGAAGAACAGCAGAATAGCGTTAGGGAAATAGCAATTAACGGTAGTTTCGGTATCCTTAATAGAGGAACCAGATTAACAAATGAAATGACATACATATACGTAACTGCACAAAAAAAAAAGTATTTTTACCAAAATTCCCATCAAGGGAAAAAACGCTACAGGCAGCAGAGAAGTTACTCCAAGAGGGATAAGCTCAAAGATCCAGAAAGAAGCCATTAAACATACCACATAGCAACAGCGCATCTCCTGAAAACAACTAATGTTACTAATAGTTTAACTACATACGTATTTACTTAGTGAGTTACCATCACTGGTTCTGTAAAAAGAAGAGGCAACAGTATGGTAGGAAATAGAACAGAGAGAAAACCTCTCCAATGAAATGTGAAAAAGTATTTCAATCGTTTACCAACAATCAAATTCTCCTTGCCGGTCCTGAAAATAAGGAAAGCATAAACACATATCGCTCGTTTAATAATATACAAAATTATTTCAAAATTTCAATTTTGTGGGAAAACGCAATCAAAGTTTGATCAACTCATGCAGTTGCTATACCAAAATACAGATGGAAATGTACTTATCTCGGCAATTTTTGGGAAGTTTAGCCATCTGTTAGGCTGAACGTATTCTACTTATCAAGCTTATTAATTGTATGATGAAGTCTCCAAAAAAGTAAATTTTGAATTATACATATTTATATTATTAAACGTGTGATAGTATGTACATACATATGGACATATGTACCATGGATTCAATAATAATAATTATTGAATCATGCACATGTACATACATTTGTACTATATATTTAACAAATTATTTTGTTATAGAAAATAAACGTACCTCATTTTGAACACAAGACTTGATTCCATGCAAATGTGATTTTAAAATTTTAATTTTCTATGTTTGAGACCTACTCCAGGGATAACTATGTGCTATTGAATGATATGTGGCAAGTAAAATATGTACATACATACATACCAAGGTACATTGAACAGGTAGTATCAGTAGAGCAGCTGATTTGATTTATTTCAAATTATTTGGTCTCGAAAATGTCAAATATTTTTAATTTTTTCTCACAAAAATTCTGAATTGTTAAAATCCATTTGCTTGTGAAACCTTTTTCCATACAAAACAAGCGATTGAATAGCAGCTTTTGGAACGTTCGCCCAACTCGGCAGCACGACCGCTGATTACTGGGCCTTACAAAGGATGGATCAATGCTTCGAGAAGCAAACAAATTTACTAGGAAAGAAAGTTGCATCAATTTTTATTTTTTCCAATTTCAATTTTTTATTTTTTATAATTTTTTGTATTTCACATGGCACGCTTTGATTTAGAAGAAAAAATTCAGAACAGTTTTTGACACTTTCGATACCAGAAGCAACAACAAAATACACGTAAATGTTGTTTTTGCTCTACTGATACTACCTGTTTAATGTGCCTTGATACATACCAAGGCGAATACATACCCAACAAGCATTTCAGTAAGTGTTTTTAAAAATAACTTAAAGTAAGTTTGCTATAATAAGCGTCAAATAAGCATTTTTAATATTAAGCTTATTACAAGTTTTTTCAAATAAACCTTTAATAAGTTTTGAGAGCGAATGTTTACAAATAACTTAAACTTATAAATGAAATGCAAATGCCAACGACATGAAGTAGTAAATATAGCATTTTTTCAATCGTAAGTGACGTGTTTACTTTTTTTAAAATATATTATTAAAAGAAAAAATTAAATAAAACCGATGCGATAAAGAAAATCCAATCCAGGACCCGCTGCGCTAATCGGTGGAGCATTCGAGTCTTCAAATGATGAGTTCTCCTTATCCTTTCTTAGTTTAACATTCAATTAAAAATGTATTAAATTTTTTTCAGAAAAGTTCATCAATGAGAATGGCGGCGATGAAGCCGAATATATAGCTGCATCGATGTCGTTTTTCCAATTTGCCAATAACCGCATGTAATTGAAAGCACGCAACAAGATGTAATAATGAACTTTTTTATGCTTAATTTTTGTGTGTTATCGTGAATTTGTATGCTAAAATGTCTTTTCCCTATTTATATTTTCGCGACTGTAGATGAGTCCGCCGAAAATTCGCATTTCGTTTAGTTTCTAGATGTTAAGCAATCTATGTATGAGTTTTTGATGAAATATCTTTAAATAAAGGGTTATAAAAATGTTTATAAAAAGCTTTCTTTTGAAAATTTTTAGTAAGTCTATATTCATACGCTTATATACAACTTTTTTTGTACCTTTGTTATAAGTTTACACTTTTACGCTTATAAAAAGCTTTCTTTTGAACATTTATTACAAGTTTATATTTCTACGCTTATAACCAATGTTCCTTTTCGATTATATTACGCTTACTTTCAAGCGTTTTATAAACAAAAAATTAACGTTTTGTAAGCTTAATGTTTATAATTGAAAACTTAAAAATAGACTTTCTTTAAGTTTATTTTGCTTATTGGGATATAAGGTGGTATCGATTCAACAACTACAACAATTACTTGTATTTTGTTTTTGCTTTTAGCGGGCCATTGTCAAATTTCAGCTATTCTTCCCGGAATGAAAAAGGGCAACAGAAAATACAAACACTCTCACGTTTTCACTCACTCGCTAACGAAACACAAAATTTTGACAATCAAACGCTACTCACAGCTGATGAAACAACACCACCTTATATAAATTCGCCTTGATACATTCCATTGTATAGGTATACGCCATGGTGGAATAATAACAAGGTGTTGCCAGTACCGACGTGTATGTTGTGATTTTGACAAGATCGGCATGCTTATTTTCAGTGCTGCCGATCTTAATTTTTATACTACTATTCGTTGTGAAATAGTATTTAAAATACTCCATTTGAGTAATTCGTTGTATCGTGATTTTTTAAGAACTTGGTGCTTTCAGAACGATATTAATATCTAAAATTGCTGGATTTGTATAATTTTTGTCTTCAAAAAGTAAAAAAATAAAAGATGTCATGGCTATCAATGGAAAAACCGAGCACAAAAATCGTATGGAAAGGCGATTTTTTATATTAAATAACTCTTGCTGCATTGTCATAATATTGAGCCAAATGAACTACTGATACACTAGAATAGAGTGGCTGCATGGTTCAATTAGGAATTCGCTTATATTATCGATATTTATGTGTTTTAATCTATTTAAAAAGTCATTTACAGTCTTATAGGAAATTGCCTTATTTTACGGCTTTTACTTTTTTAAAGTTACGATATATGTCCAAGCTGTGTGGAGCTGCCGATACAAACATATATTCAGGCTTATAAGCCTGTAATTATACATTTTTCTACATTTAATTTGAAATAGTATGCACCAACGGATTAAAAGTAGTAAATAATTAGTACATTTTCTAGTATTTTAAAATGCGTGACCAGAATAGACCTGCCGAAAAAGTGAGGTTAAGTTACTGACAACACCTTGTTATTATTACACCATGGGTATACGCATGATACAAAAAAGAAGGTAGTTTCATTACTACTATTTTTTTATTATAAAGCAGATTTTTGACATTTCTCCAGATGTAAACATTAAGCATAGCTTTGCCACATTGAAATTTTTTGATAGGGGAGATTTTCTTTTAAATATTTGGGAGTAAAATTTACGTACAAACAATAGTAAGTTGATGGTTCGATAATCAAATTTGAACGTTTTTCTCAAGCGTTTAAAAGATCCTTTGAATAATATCGATGTGCATAGATAAAGAAATAAAATAAAATCTAGTTTTGAACCATTTATTTATTAAAATCTGACGTACATTTATATAACTAGTCTACAAAAGAAATGCAATGTTAACTCAGAAGACATCGGCTTTATAAGGGACTTGAAAAATAAGTTGCTTTATAATTTAAAAACAGTTGCTGTTGAAAACTAACAGATTTGCACAAAATTGTGCTTTTTTATACCTGCCAGCAAAAGAGCGAATCTGAGCAAAGGTACACAAAAGAGAAATGTTTACAAATTATAAGAACGTTAACTGAGAATTCTGACAGTACAACGGAACCACAAATTCCGGTTACACCTTTGTTACCTTCAGACAACTTTGAGCTGTTTTCAGGTCTTCTTAAACAACCTACCTTTGTGAGCAGAACTGATAAAGCTACTGCAGAGGTATATTTTCATACGGACTTCGATATAAGTAATTGGTGGGAGGTACACAAATGCGAAATGCCGCTGCTGCATAAACTCAATCGTAGAGTAATAGCCACTCCTTCAACTAGCGCATCGTCAGGAAGAGTTTTTTCTTCTGCTGGAAATGTTATTTCTGACAAAAGATGCCACCTTTTGTCAAATGATGATGCCCTTAATCAGTTGATATTTTTGCATTATAATATTCAGTTAGGAAACCAATAAAATTAACAAAAATTGCCTTTACAAATGTTTTTTCTTTGATACATTCATTACAGCAGTTATGCTATGCACTTGTTCTTCGAATCAAGCACTTGTTATTTGAATCGAGCACTTGATAGTGTGAATTACTCACTCAACCGACAATGTTTTTTCAATGCTATCGCACGTTATGTTTGGAAATAAATGAGTGCGAGTGTGTGCAGATGTGAAAAGAAAGCGAGTGACTTAAAATGTAATTTGAGTGTATCCATGCAGCTCTCTGGTATACGCATGATACAAAAAAGAAGGTAGTTTCAATAAATAACTTTTGACGGATAATATAATTTTTTGAAGTTACATAAATTGTGAGTATTCTCAACGGCCTTGCCATTTTTATAATATTAAAACAATAAATCATAGTATTTTCTGTGCCATATTTATACCAATTTAATAAAATTTCAAATCAAAATTATCAGAGCTTGGAATTTTTTTACTAACGTTGTTCGCACCTTTTTTATTAAAGATATATAAAATGTAAACTTCCAAAGGAGACTTCATCGTAATAGTTCTTTTTATTTTATAATAAAGATCACGAACGCATTGTGTTTATTTCTTAATTTTCTTATGTTGAATGCGATTTAAAAATCTAATTCTTAAGAATTTTCTTCCCAAATAAAACGTTTTTATAATATTTTGGTTCAAATTTACTTTTAATTTTCTCATCACATTTTGCAAAAAATTAGGCTTTGTGGTTAGCGTGTCACCACTAACTTCAACAAATTTTTAATTTTAACATTTCAATGAATGAAAAAAACTTGAATTATTGTGTATTAATTTTCAGGTCCATTATATATTCTACTTAAAAAAATTTTACTTCTAGTGATCAGGTAGCATGAATTTGATGAAATGTCATAATTTTATTAAAAGTCAAATGGTTAGCAACAACAACGAATGTCATTAAATGGAACTACCTTCTTTTTTGTATCATGGGTATACGATGAATTCATATAAGGTGGTATCGCTTCAACAAATACAACAATTACTTGTATTTTTTTTTGGCTTTTAGCTGGTCATTGTCAAATTTCAGCTATTCTTCTCCGAATGAAAAAGGGCGACAGAAAATGCAAATACTCTCACGTTTTCACTCACTCACTAGGAAAATATAAAATTTTGATAATCGAACGCTACTCACAGCTGATTAAACAACACCACGTTATATAAATTCCAGAGACACAACTGTTATAAGGAATATCAAAAAAAAAAATTGGTCCATACATACCTCCGTACCAAGTTCCAATACGCTACCATGAACACTTCCAAGGATATGCAATATGAAAAATTTGGTTTTTATGGGAGGTGCCATGCCCCCTTTTCCAATAGCCTAAATTTTTCTCCATTAGTATGCGATTTATTTCACATACCTTCGTACCAAGTTCCAGTACTCTACCATGAACACTTCCAAAGATATGCAGTATGAAAAATTCGGTTTGTATG